TTCAAAGTTGAAAGGAAGGACAGGGAAGGGAGCAGAAAGCAGGGATGCAGATCGGGCAGGGGAAGGGGATCACAGTGGCACTCTCAGGGGTCAGGGCTTAGCTTGTGGCATGACTGCCAAAATATTTGGTCCCCAGTGTCTTAGCATATCTCAGTTTATCCACAATGACAGTGGTTGAGTATAAATGTGCTGAGGCCCAGTGGAAACACTCAAGCCTTTTTGCTTGGAATATTTTGGGAACTGTGTTTAATACTTGGGACTCTTACATAGAACTCAACAAATAATAACAATAATGGAATTGTTAATTAAGGACGTGTTGAAATTTGCACTTAAAGCACCATTACAATCTCCTTCGTTTCAGTTCAGTAAATCTGGTTTCCAAATTTGGACCAGTCGCTGTGCAGAGGACAATTAGATTTTCTAGGTCACTTTCTTCCTTTTCCAGAATAAGCATTTTAATCTCTCTCTTTTAAAGTACTTTAGGTCATTTATCACATTTATTTGGCTCAAATGATCTAGGTAATGGAATAACAGAGGCTCTTACACCTTTTCACAGTTAGCTCTCATTGAAAATTCAGGCATAGGACACATTAAGGGAAGCTAGATAGTAATTAATTTAAGTGATTAATGACTATTATCTAATTCTTACGGTTACAGTCATGACCAGGTCAATTGTTCGAGTCCTCTTCACTGGTGGCATTGTGACAGCTACACCAACCAATAGCCATTTCTTGCCAGCGTTTCTGCATGTTGCAATTCTATTGGTTGAACCGAGTTAGCAAAGTGAAATGTGTATATGTAGGTGTCTGGACGTCTCATTGTACCGTGTTTTGTTATAGCTGAAATTGTAATAGGTGTATCCTCTGCATTGGGCATGGATTGAATAGGGACCTGTAACAGACCCATACCTATGGGTTAAACAGGGACAGATTGAGGCGAATCGTTTGAAAGCTAAGGGTACTTGAACACGTGACGAGGTTTAGTTCCCCTGAATTGAAACGGTGAGTTTTTAATTGTGACCCACTGTTTTAATTTAGGGGCTTCCATCACTGTGACAGAATGGTGATGGCCTACCATCAGCTCACCCCCCCGGGCAGGCTCCACCCGGGGAAAAAAAAGCGACAAGGGGCCTGATCCTTTTCCCACCCCCCCAGAGTCTGCCTGCTTCTTGCTTGGCTGGGGAGCCAGCTGCCAGTGGCCCCCGAGCCGTGG